CGGGGCGGGGGGGCAGAATCGCATGTGCATGCAGGGGGGAAGCTGCACATGAGAGAGGCTGAGCCCTGCTGAGTCAGGCTTAAAATTAGGGGATATATTGCAATAGATACTGCCTGCAGAGATTTCTTAACCTATGGCACTTTGCCTCTAAAAGTTACACTTTTTGCATAACTGCATGGCAGGATTTTAGCCATTTAGTTTTCACATGGTAGAGAAACAGGTGTTCATTCTGCTCTACGTCATGATATCAGAGGTTGGAAAAGCTACTTTTTCAAGCTCTAATACATGTTAACTAATATAAAGGTGTCCTCATTAAGACTGCTACAAGTAGCCATAGAAACAGTAGTTCCTCCCTTTTAAAAGTGTCTGTGCGTGAATCAGGCTTCTACATGTGGGTGTTTGCAGGGGTTGTTTGCACTACACCACTGGTTCTTAACCTTGGGTTACTCAAGTGTTTTTGGACTGCAACTCCCAAAAGCCTTCACCATCAGCTGTGCTGGCTGGGGTTTCTGAGAGTTGCAGTTTATAAACACCTGAGTAACCCAAGGTTAAGAACCACTGCACTACACTATAGGTATATGATAAGGAAGCATGTGTATTTGCTTCTCCATTACAATGTTGCCATTCAAGTACATGAAGGAACCAGGCTTATATTTCTCTTACAAAAGAAGATGCACAGATTATGAAAATTGCCCACTAGTGGGTGCCATTTCACAATAGGATTTTGTCCTAAAAGTCATTGATTGTGTTTGAACTGAAATGGGGATGGGACAAGTTTTTTTGTGGATTAAAACTCACACAATCCCTCGGCCAGCATCATTCCTGAATATTCATTTCTCTAAACTCTGCATTGAAATATAGCAAGGCCTCTTGTGGACAGCGGTGTAATGCATCCAGAGTCCACAGCCTTGAAACACCGGGGCCTCTCGGTTATGTCATCTATTATCTCCTCCTCTACCCCAGCTGGAGATTTGTGTTTGAGACTGTTAGAACTCATTTGTTTACTTTGAGATCAAGGGTTTCCCCCTAATGCTGGGAACAGAGAATCCAGGGAAGATCATGCACTTGTGTGTACACACATTTCGTACAGGCAGCTGCTTGCATTTTTGGACTTTTCTTGGGTGCGTTTGTGAATAAAATGAGTACATGCAGTTCAAAATGTACTGCTACACTGCTGACCGTGAGAGTATTTATTTATTTATTCATTTATTTATTTGTAATATATTAACCCATTTTTTCCTTTAAAAGGACCCAAGATAGCTTGCAACAATTAAAAGACTGTATTTAAATTAGTAACAATGAGTATATAATACTAAAAAGATCAATGAATACAATACCAAAAAACCTAGGCAACACCAAAATGTATTCAGTGCAGTAAGGTACGACAATCCATTTTTTTAAAAACCCACTCGGCACCCATTTACTCAGGGGAAGCCCGCCTGAAGAGCAAGGTCTTTGTCTGCTTGTGGAAGGACAATAAAGATGGGGCCCCGTCTAGCCTTCTGTGGGAGGGAGTTCCAGAGTCTGGGAGCAACAACAACAAAAGCTCTCTCCCGTGTCCCTACCAAATGTGCTCTCTGCATCTGAGGCAATTGCAAGAACATGGCATAGCACTATAAATGAATACTGTGTGCAGCAGGCAGAGAAGACTAGCAACAGGTAGTAGGAAAGGGAATTGACAATCAAAAGTCCTTGTGTAAAAATAAAGATGCAATGCAATTAAAAAGGTTTGTCCTGTTTTCATTTTTGAAATGCTGGAAGGTTGCAGGTTTGACATTTCTCTTTCGCATTCAGTATAAATATGAACCTAAGATTTAGTCAGACTGAATGACTAGATTGGTTTAAATCAGTGCTTCAGTTCAGCTGCTGTGCTGAACCTTTTTATATGAAAGTGTCTGGTATTTAGTTTCAGCTCCCCCACCTCTATGAACCCCACTCAGGAAGCTGTGATTGGGATTAGGAAAGTGCTGACCTTGGTAGGTTTGCTGAAAGCCTTTTCACTGCTCAGGTTCTCTCCCTCCCATCGCCCTCACCTTTCTGCTCTCACATGCAGTTGTCTATGTGTGTGAAACAGAATCCTGCAACGTCATTCCATTAACACATAAAGACATAGGTGCATATATTGTATATGTTCATAAGGGTTTTGGTACATTCATTTGTCTAGACCTATATTAATATCTTAAAGCTTGAGATGCTATAAATGATGTTGTTGCTTAATATAAACTGGAAGTTTATATGAAATTTAAAAATTAAACTAAAGCATAATTTTATTTCAGCTATACAACAGTGACTCCCTGTGGCCAAGCAGGCATAGTGGTTAATTGCCTCTTCCCATTTCTGTGTAAAGTGGGCTGTTGGCTTTCATGGGCAATACTGTACATTAGGAATCAAAATTGAAAAGTAAGTACTTTTCTGCTAAGATCATGGCCACTGGTCCCATCACCTCCTGGGAAATAGAAGGGGAACATATAGAAGCAGTGACAGATTTTACTTTCTTGGGCTCCATGATCACTGCAGATGGTGACAGCAGCCACAAAATTAAAAGATGCCTGCTTCTGGGAAGGAAAGCAATGACATTCCTCAACAGCATCTTTAAAAGCAGAGACATCACTTTGCGAACAAAAGTCCGAATAGTCAAAGCTATGGTTTTTCCTGTAGTGATGTATGAAAGTGAGAGCTGGACCATAAAGAAAGCTGGCCACCGAAGAATTGATGCTTCTGAATTGTGGCGCTGAAGGAGGATCTTGAGAGTTCCCTGGACTGCAAGGAGAACAAACCTATCCACTTTGAAGGAAATCAACCCTGAGTGCTCACTGGAAGGACAGATTGTGAAGCTGAGGCTCCAGTACTTTGGCCATCTTATGAGAAGAGAAGACTCCCTGGAAAAGACCCTGATGTTGGGAAAGTGTGAAGGCAAGAGGAGAAGGGGACGACAGAGGATGAGATGGTTGGACAGGGTCATTGAAACTACCAACATGAATTTGACACAACTCCGGGAGGCAGTGGAGGACAGGAGGGCCTGGAGTGCTCTGGTCCATGGGGTCACGAAGAGTTGGACACGACTTAACAACTAAACAACAACACTTTTCTGCATATGAGATGGATGGATGCAGAGTGAGATCTGTCCTATGTATTAATTAAATGTACTACATTTTTGTTCCTTCGTGGAGAAGAAGCTATATACTTCAGTAAACAGTGCAGCAGAAGGCGATTTTCCTCCTGCTTTTATAACTGTAATGTACACTTGATAGAAGCCTCCTTGACTTTGCCTAAGGGAATAGTTGTGCTGGCGAAGTGCCCCACAGTCATCTGTTATAGCAGGTAAGGGACATCCCACCAAATTCAGCACATGCTCCTCCCCACAAAGGGAAACTGAGTGTTTGGGGAAGACAGAGATGAAAACATTTTCTTGTAAGCAGGAGCTCCAAATTTATTTCTAAAACACATACCAGAAACATAAGAATAATAAAACACTGAAAATGTATTTTTTAAAAAATCAGTTCATGCCCACCTTCAGATACACACAAGACAACTGATAGGAGCTGTTGAACTACTTTGACACAGGAATTTAAAGTGGTCGTACATACATGATATAAAGAAATAAAGACACGACTCATCACTTCACACACTAAAACTCATTAAAATGTGTTATCAATATTGGTATCCATGCCATTTCCTGTTGCAGGAGATCTTTGGATATTGCTTCTTCTTTGAAGGTGGATGTGAGTTGATCAGGAGTGAGAGCTTTCTCTCCTGGGAAGCCTGCTTTGACTGAAATGGTAGTATGTGATAATAAGGTTTTAATTAAATGGTATTGTTTCAGGCTCATTGGAAATGAGTTTGCATTGTTATATTTTAGATTCTTTACTGGTAGTGCTTTGATACTGAGCTTTGCTAAAGAAACAGCAACCAAGGATTTATGTGAGCCCCAGTTCCATCACACTTGTTATATATAGGTTATGTTGTCTGCTTTTTATGCTAAAAGCAGGATGCATGCATATACTAAAATCATTATAGGGACAATGAGGGTTTTGTTTTGTTTCTATCTTTCCCTCAAAACTGTTAGAACCACTGCAGATTTTCTGCAAAATGTTCATAATAAGTTGCAGCTGTCTTTGCAATCTGTCCTGCAGGTCTGAATAAATCAGTCTATGCTTATGAAGTACTCTCTTTAACATAGGTCCATGACCATGGAAGTTAGTAACCAAACCTAAGATGAAGATTCTGGTAGCTAGTTTCACAGTTGGAAAATGATATAAAAGATGATTGTCTGCAAAGGCAATAACTCAAAACTGCCGTGTCTTCACCGTCAACTTGCAAATAAAGCCTGTGCTTTTTCCCACCCCAACTAATTGTCAAACAAAAGCAAGCTAATTTGTACTTCGCAGAGCAAAACAAAGAAGGATAAAAATATGAATGTAACCTCTTAAGGAAGCTCCATTCTACTGATGGGTTTTCTATTATGTCTGCTTTGACTCACAGACTGCATGAACTGCTGTTCTCTGCAGGCCCCAGAACTTTTTGGAATGAGAGAAACAAGGTGGCAATGGGGCTTCTGAACCAAGTGCAGTTAGTATTTCTGCCTGTATAAAAAAATTCCAAATTCCTAGTTCTGTGCTCTATCACTCTTTTCCTCACTACAGATAACTGTGCCCCATGGCCACAAGGAGCTATTAGCCTATTTCAGAGTCCTTGATCTTTTTTTCCTTCAGAAATAAAATCTTTGTTGTTTCATTTAACTTCTTTATGCCTAAGCCTGCACAAGAGATCCCCTGTGTGGTGCAGTAGACAGCGTGGCAGACCAAGGCTCAGGAAACCTGGGGTCCAATCATTGACCAGCCACAGAAACTCATAGGTGGGTGGGAGAAGGTACTGGTAAAAGCACTTCTTAAATATTCATCTTCAAAACCCACTTTGAATTGCTCTAAGTCGGTTCTGACCTTAAGGCACCTGTCAACGACAACACACCTACACAGACAGACTTGGTGAACGAAGATCAGGTTGTCATGTTGTTTTGATGTCATCCTGTAAGTGCAAATGAGGCACCACTGTATATTGAGGGAATTACTTTGTTTAAAAAGTACTTAATATTATGAATGTTATCTTTCGGGACCTACAGACCCGCTTGGCACACAGAACACGTTTGTCAGGTCTTACAACAATTATGAGACCACCGACTCTACGCCAAGCTGGAGAAGTGCAAATTCAACTTGCAGGAAGTCAAGTTGCTAGGTCACATTGTATCTCTCCAAGGGATCCTGATGGATCCAAAGAAAATAGAGTTGGTTCTGATCTGGCAGCAGCCCTGGAACCGTAAGGATGTGCAGCGGTTTCTCGGCCTTGCGAACTATTACCGCCAGTTCATACCAGCCTACGTGGACATAACCATGCCGCTGACCCACCTCCTCCAACCCCAAAAGCCATTTCTTTGGATTCCAGAGGCAGACCATGCTTTCACCACAATAAAAACCCGCTTTACCACCAAGCCTACTCTGCGCTATCCAGACCCCCGACCACCATTTCCTGTGCAGATGGATGCCTCCAGTGTCGCTCTGGGTGCAGTACTGTCCCAGCAGGAGGACCCCTCACAGCCACTGCAGCCCTGCGCTTTCTACTCTCGGTAGTTCACACCCCCAGAATGGAACTACACCATCTGGGAGTGGGAACTCTTGGCCATCAAAACCACTTTCGAGGTCTGGAGGCATTACCTTGAAGGGGCCCATCACCCTGTCCAAGTTTTGATGGACCACTGGAATCTGGAACACTTGCAGACAGCCCGACACCTTAACCAATGCCAGAGCCAGTGGAGTCTCTTCTTCTCCTGGTTTGACTTTCGCATTACCTACATCCTGCATACTCAGAATCAGAAAGCCAATGCCTTGTCCTGCAAACTGGAATACGCTGTTCCAACCTCTGAAGAGTCTCTGACTACACCTATCCTATCCCCTTCAGTTTTTGCAGCCACTACAACTTGCTCGTCCCTGGCTGAAGAAATTCGAGCCAGCCAAGCTCAAGATCCCTGAGCCAAGCAACACTTGCAGGAGCTCCAAAAGGGCCCTGCTGGAGACTTTACTGACCACCAGGGTCTCCTATTACACCGTGGATGTCTGTATGTTCCTCCAGGGCCGCTCCGAACCAACGTGCTCTATCTGACCCATGATTCCCCTCCTGCAGGACACTTTGGTCAGGACAAAACTCTGCACTTACACGGGAATTTTTGTGGCCCTGGGTTCGAACTGACATCGCCCGTTATGTCGATTCCTGGGAGATTTGTCGTTGAGCCAAGGATATACCAGCCAAACCTCCAGGGCTGCTACAACCATTACCCGTACCAGCCGGTCTTTGGGACACAGCATCACTAGACTTCATCACGGATCCCCCATGATCACAAGGGTATACCTGTGTTCCGGTAATAGTGGACCTGTTCACCAAGATGGCTCATTTTGTCCTGTGTTCTAAACCTCCCACAGCTCCTGAAACAGTCCAGCTCTACCTTCGCCATGTTTTCCGCATGTGCTCCCGACACACTTAATTTCATATCGTGGTTCCCAATTCACCTCCCGGTTCTGGCAAGCCTTACACACCAGTTTGGGCACCCGAGTGCACTTGTCGATGGCGTATCATCCCCAAACAGATGGACAGACTGAGCATACTAAGACCGCTCTTGAGCAATATCTCTGTTGCTATACCTGCTATCAGCAAGATGACTGGGCTACCCTGCTACCCCTGGCTGAATTTGCTTACAATAATGCCATACACTCATCCACAAAACAGACCCCATTTGCAGCCAATTATGGATACCACCCTCGTTTTTCCCTGGCTGTCCTGCCGTCAACCATAGTTCCTGCTGCTGATGCTCACGTACGCAAGTTGCAGGCTCTCAAAGACCTACTCCGAGAGCAGCAAACAATATTTTTGCGTATAAATGTAACTCTCTAAAAAAATGAAATGTCACTGGTCATGTGAATTATGACTCCTAAATCAATCTGGAAACATATTGTCTTGAATATCTTAAAGTTTTCTTCCAATTCACTTGTAGGTTTGGCTTAACACTTTAACATTTGAGAGGTAGCTTGTCTCTATCCATCTTTCTGTGCAGAACAATTTAATTTGGGTTGTCACTTTTTTACAACATATCCTGCTTTACTTTTTGTTTGCCTAAAGCTTTAGCCTTTAGCACTGCTTCCTCTTGTTTTGTCATAGTCTTCAACATGTTGCATATTTTCCTTCCTGCCACTGAATTATTCTATTGAGGGCTGTTCAACCCTTCCTCATTGCCATCCCCTTTCTCTCTCGCTCTCTCTCTGACCCCTTTTTTCCCTCTCTCTATATGAATTTCTTTTCTACTTCTCACTACCCCCCCTTTCCTCACAATCTCTGCTTTCTTCTCACTTTTTGCCAACCCCTCTTCCTACTCTTCCTCTTTGCCACTTTCCTTCTGCCGATACTGTCTCCCTATCTTCTCTCTCTGCTGCTCATCAGGAGAAGCCTTCCTCTCGGTCACACTACCTACACATGTGTTTGGTGGGGACAGGGGCTCCTCTCTGTTGCTTCTCCTAGACTCTGGAGCTCCCCAGTGGTGGGATTCAAATAAATTAACAACAGGTTCTATGTCCTAATGACTGACAGACAGACAGACAGACAGACAGACAGACAGACAGACAGACAGACAGACAGACAGACAGACAGACAGACAGACAGACAGACAGACAGACAGACAGACAGACAGACAGACAGACAGACAGACAGACAGACAGACAGACAGACAGACAGACAGACAGACAGACAGACAGACAGACAGACAGACAGACAGACAGACAGACAGACAGACAGACAGACAGACAGACAGACAGACAGACAGACAGACAGACAGACAGACAGACAGACAGACAGACAGACAGACAGACAGACAGACAGACAGACAGACAGACAGACAGACAGACAGACAGACAGACAGACAGACAGACAGACAGACAGACAGACAGACAGACAGACAGACAGACAGACAGACAGACAGACAGACAGACAGACAGACAGACAGACAGACAGACAGACAGACAGACAGACAGACAGACAGACAGACAGACAGACAGACAGACAGACAGACAGACAGACAGACAGACAGACAGACAGACAGACAGACAGACAGACAGACAGACAGACAGACAGACAGACAGACAGACAGACAGACAGACAGACAGACAGACAGACAGACAGACAGACAGACAGACAGACAGACAGACAGACAGACAGACAGACAGACAGACAGACAGACAGACAGACAGACAGACAGACAGACAGACAGACAGACAGACAGACAGACAGACAGACAGACAGACAGACAGACAGACAGACAGACAGACAGACAGACAGACAGACAGACAGACAGACAGACAGACAGACAGACAGACAGACAGACAGACAGATAATTGCCCAAGACAGTGGGATCTGATGAAGGTTTCTTCCACAGTGGTCTCCCTACTGCCTATTATCACAACTACTGCTCACATGATTAAGACATCTGGATAAGTGTATCTGTTTGGGCATACCACTGCTGTTACCCTCACCGTGGGTGTAGCGGAACCCAAAAGATGACGTCATTCCTGCATGTCAATCAGAGGACGGAGCAGGAGGGGCGGAGTCAGAATGACAGAGAGTTGGAAGAGACAGTTAAGGACAGTTGGAATGAGATAGGGATAGAGAGAAGTAGGGACAAGAAGATGTGGAGAGAGTGCTAGGGTTTAGGAGTAGATAAAAAAGGGTTAAGAAAGGAAATTGAAAGAAAAACATATTGAACAAGCAAGAATGAAGCGAGAGGGGAGACGGCTAGAGCGCAGGTGGAGGAAGTCCCGCTGGGAATCTGATCGAACACGACTTAGAGCCCATTATCGGGCCTATTTCGTGGCAATACGGCTGGCGAAACAGCAATATTTCTCCAGCCGTATTGCTTCCTCAGAATGTCATCCAGCAGAGCTGTTTCGGGTGGTCCGGGATCTTCTTCAACCGGGAAATCCGGTGGAGGTCCCGGACTGATCATCAGCTCACTGTGATGAGTTTGCTATTCATTTTGAGGAAAAAATCGATCAGATTCGCAGTGGGCTGGACTCCACTGTTACTGCAAAATCGGAAGATGTGCCCAGTGTGCTGTGCTTAGGTCAAACTTTAATGGATGAGTTTCAATTGTTGAG